GTCATGTCCCCTTGGATACCAGGGTTCTGCCAGCTTTTACCTGTCACTGTTGAGCTCTGATCCTTCTTCCTGACCGTAGTTAGAGCTAAATAAATACAAGCAAAATGAGGCTGAGATAAAAAAAATCTGGAAGGGAAGTAGAGTCTGGGTAGAGTTAAGGCATAAAACACAGGGTGAGATGCCCTCTTCGTCCAAAGCACTCCTTGGTTTCTGGCCTCTGCATGGAGGTGAGAGAGGTTGGGGAGTAAGATTTGATATGTGTTGTTTTGAGGACTAATGTTGTGATTTGAAGACAGCTCTAAGAAGCCATACAGGTAAATACTTAGGAGTTGTAAGGAGAAAAGAGAAAGTGAAACAGTCATATTTTAAGCACTCCCTTTCAGCCTGGCACTTTCACATACTTCTGGGTGAACATTATCATCCCTAATTTTCACCTGAGAAAGTTCTAGATCAAAGCAGTCATGAACCAGCTTGCTTCTATCTTCACCTGAACTCCCGTGGGCACTTTTATTAGCTCAAGCTCAGCATCTCAAACTTGAATGTGTCCTGGAATCTTCTAGAAGGCTTGTTAGAACACAGTCTGCTTGACACAAACTCCAGAATGTCTGATTCTGCAGACATGAGGTGGGGCCCATGGATGTGCATTTCTAACAAGTTCCCAAGTAATGCAAAGACTGCTGGTTTAAGGCCATGCTCTGGGAACCACTGGCCAGTGGCAACAAAAACTTGCCTGCTGGATAGCAAACTGTGATGCCCTTTGGAATCACTGAGGACTGTTTCAGAATAAATGATGCCTGGTTAGCATGCCCATGCATTTTAATTTAACTGATAGACAGTGTAACCTGGGCACTTTGAAAGCTCCCCAAGTAAAGCTAACATACAGCCAAGTTTGGGACCCACTGACAAAGCCACATTCCCCTTTAATTTTTATCACCATTGTCCACTCCAGCTGCCCATTACTGAGGCCATAGGTAATCTGTCACTGGCCAGTACCATTGACAGCATCTCATCCAGGTTTTACTCCTTTGTCTCAAAACACCTTTGCTAGAGCTTCCCAAGTCTCTTATTTGTCTCCTTTTTTCTTCCATTCCTTCATCTCTTTCCCCATCTACCCAGACTCTGTGCTACAGTAATTGCAATTGCAGTCCACCAGCTGTGAACATGTATGTCCTAATCCCTCTCTCAATGACTATGCTGCATGGAAGACCTTGAGGACCATCTAAATCTTGCCATGAGTAGACACTAACAGGATTTTATTTTAACTATTACTTTTTAGTTATAACACAAGTATGACTTAAAGAAACATTTAAAAAAGCATAAAGAAGAAGTAGAAATTAACATTAATTTAATTATCCAGGTCTCACCATTGTTAAGCCTTTGCTGAGTTTTGTCCTTTTTTAGTGTGTATCATCTTACCTAGTTGAGAGCATGCTACATAAGTAAACTTATATCTTGATATAATACTTATTACAACTGGCAAATTATTTTCAAAACTTTTTCTCCGTGTAACATCTTGGGTGTGAAGGAACACATACTGCATCTTCTTTTGCCAGTACATTAATGTTTTGTTTGATGCCACCAGGGATTGCCAGTCTGGAGGTGACATGGTCACCTGAATGCTGGAAGTTGAACAAGTTGGAACTGATGTGTTGTTGTCCTTGCTGCTCTACCCCTTGCTTCCACATTCTCCCCTCTCCATTTGCTCACACCACATCTTCCTTCTTTCCTAGAATGCAAATGATAGGTGATCAGTACTCACACCTACCTCCACAAAGCCTTGTCATCAAGAAATAGAAAGAGTAGGGCTAGAAGGCTTGGCTCACAGGCTACACAAACTTGTGCCTGGCCCAAAGATCTCCTCCACTGGTTTTGGACAAGTTTCTAAATAATAACAATAAATAATAAGTCTCTCTAGGGAAAAATACCATATACTATAGTTCTATGAAATTTGCAAGTAGGTTTATTGCTGAATTAACTTTTCCCTCTGTCCTGTGCCTGTCAACTCTGTATAGTATATGACCATCTCTATCCCTGGAATGTTCTCCTATCTTCCTCCCTCTCAACCCCCCAAAAAACAGCTTGGCAATTCTGGCGTGTTCTAAACACCCACCTCCAATACCTTTCCCACTCAGCACAGCTACTTAGATATTCCTGACCTCACAGTTCAACTTGAGCATCTTCTTCACTGACTTCTGTTTCTCCTTAGACAAGACTCCTTAAACAACAGAATACTTTATATTGCCAGGTCCTAACACAGTGCCTAGAACATTGTTGCTAACTCAGTGGCAATTCTGTGACTGAGCAAATGAATCCTGCCTCGCTAAGGTGCATAGCTATTCTATCTTAAACAGTAATGAGTGGAAGAGTATAAAGACAATATGATCATGACACAATTGCCAAACTGACTCTGAGTCATTGGTACCCACTGTAAAACAGACACCTGGTATACCAGATGTCCCAAACCTGGATTCTGTGTTCTAAACACAGAATCTAAACATTCCCTGTTGTTTGTGCCTAGACACTGACTTACATTCTGTTCTCCTTCATTTTAGTAAAAACTTAATGCATACATAAGTATCTCTGTGGTAGAAAAAGGAAAGAGGGGTTAGGTGATGACAGAACTCTTTTTAAGTGTGACACAAAGAAAACTGAAACCATGGGCTATTTATAGTTATTACACAAAAGAAGGGGTTTGATGTTTGGTTACTTTAGGAAAGAATATAAAATAGATTTCTTTAAGACTTTCTCAGTAGGCTTTCTTATATTTTTGGTTTTGAGCCTTGCCTTTAATGGCTGAGCCATCTCTCCAGCCCCTCAGTAGGCTTTCTAGAAAGCTGAAGGATAATTAGGCAGGTAAGTCCTGGAGTCAAGGGTCAGGTCTAAGGTTAGGGCTAGGGTGACAGACAGGAGTCACCTTTGTTGTCTGAAAAGAGAGAGTTCATATTTAAAAGTAAGATACAAAATGGTAATAAGCCCCTAGCCCCTTCCCCTGAATAAATCTCCTCAGTCCCACATCTGTGCCAGCCCCGCCCCCACCTGCCCACTCCTGCTGGTGAGATCAGCCTTCATTACAGCTCTTCTAGAGCCAGGAAGCAAGGTAATGTGTGGGAAGTGAGAGCTGCAAGGTAATGTGTGGGAAGTGATAACAACTTTAAAGCCATTCAACGGGAAAATTTGTTAAAAGACAGAGACATTGTAAAGCTGAAACACTTGAGTCTATTAAGTCCCCTGCTTCTTAGAACATTTTGTTACCAGGGCATGTTTCAAGGAGGGAAAACACTGAACCATTGAGCTCTGTCAGATACCAAAGCCTGGTACAAAGAGCAACATTTTCTAAGGTATCCATTTCTGCCCTATGCAGAGGAATTTCTTCTAAAAACGTGTGCCTTTATTTTCTTCTCTTCTCTCTTATCACAATACAACTCCTCTGTCCTCCTCAGCCCTGGAAGTCACTCTTCTTCCTCCTCATCTTCTGCATCCTCTTCTCTTGCTTCCTCTCTCCCTGCCTCCCCTACCTTCCATAGCCTATGCTGTGGACACTATTAAACCAGCACAATAAACTAAGACTCTGCAATGATTGTTCAACCCTCTACGGTAAGGGAACTAATTAAGTGACTGGAGATTTAGACATTCATTGTTGATTAGCTCCAAACTCCTTCAGAGAGCCTGGAGCGCTCTCCTAAACAAACCTTACCCTTTTATGGCTTCTTGTCCCAAGTCCAAATGAGATGGAGAGCTTAAGGAGACAGTATCTTTTAATGGATGTGAATAAAGGGGAACTTAAGGACTAGAGTCAAGTGTGGATGGATGCAGAGGGGAAAGCTGTGTGCTTTTCACAGATGGATTCTTCTCTCATATCTCTTGGCAGCTAATGTCTCTCAGTGGTCATTTGTTTAGACTTCAGTGTTGACATGTTCACGGTCAGTCCAGTGCTTTGGCTAACTGCCTTCATTACATACACACCCATCAATGGACTGTTTTTTTAAACAACCGTCTTCTAAACAAAAGAATAAATATTTCTTCACTAATCTTAAACAGCCCATCTTTAGAGGACAGAGCCATTTGATGAACAAACCAAAAGTCTTGACATAGTTTTTCTTGCTTGTGGCTATTAATGGAATAGTAGTAACTGGCCTCAATCTGAGAAAATGTACTCTTGTTCTGCTAGCAAAGGGAATAGACTGTTACTTAAACTCTGCATCTTAATTTTGCTTCAGCTCTAACTGCACAAACAGTTGCATTTTAGAGTGAATATTAGACCCAGTACCCAACATTACCCCTGCCATCACTCTCACAGTAGAAAATGGAGGCAAAAATCCAAGCAAAATGGATCACTCCTCCCAGGCTAGGAATCAGAAGCCATTGCCACCATTGTAGGCCACTGGAATGGAATTCGTGGTTTTCTACCTCCTTTTCCACTGTGAGCCACAGTGGTCTGACACATGTGGAATACTCTTCTCCTTCATTTGACTTAGGCATGGGGTATGCTGAAGAAGGCCCTTGTACTTCCCGACAATGTCCATGGAGAATGGTTCACCAGAAGCTAAGCACAGGCCAAATTGGAGGCTAATTAACCATCAGTCTTCATTAGCAGAGCCAACATGTTGCTCTGACATTAAGAACAGTTATAGACTCATCAACATTCCATCTTATCTTAGTCCCAAACCAATATGTCTGTAGCAGCTAGGTGGGTGTATTTCAGAAACAGCTGGTTTGTCACTTATGATATTCTATATTTGAAGAGACTTCTTGATGTCAGCCTATTCACTGGATACATATTAATTTTTCAAATCAAAGCTTAAAAAACTTATTGGCTTCTTCTCACAAAAAAGGTACATCTATTTCTTTTTTTGAGAAAAATGTCTGTCTCGGTAAATGAAAACACTCTTGGTGGGAGATGACAGATAGACCTAGGTTGGTCACCAAAGGACCAGCACTTATTGGCAGACTATGCTGAGTGAGAGAGAAGGATGTGCATAGTCTTTGTTTTCACTCTGCAGACCTCAGTGACCAGCTCCTTGAAGTGGTGGGTCTAGAAGGAGCCATGGAAATGGGGCAGATCTACACTGGCTTGAAGAGTGCAGGAAGGAGACTGGCCCAGTGCTCCTCTGTCACCATTAGGTAAGTCCCCTGTTGCCCAGCATCTTCAGGGTCTCCCTACTTCCTTGAACATTCAGGCAGATAATAAACTAACTAAGAGCTACCTTTGGGCTTCAGGCTATGGTGAATTGGCAAAAGAAGCTTGGCAGTATTGATAAAGAATACTTAGACTGTATTATTTAATTGCTACTGTATATGTATTTTCCCAAATATATGTTTGGACCATATAGTTATTTGTATATATATGATTTCAGGGGTGACCACTTGGTATTGGACAATCAATATGCCCTTCCCTAGGGGAGACTATTTCTCCTGCTCTTAGCATTTCTTGCCTGAAGTTCTTGGTGTAGGGTTGATGTCCTATGAGTTTCCCCCTACCCTTCCAACCCCCATCCATGACAGCATGATATTGGTGTCATCCTTTTTCTAGTCTTGTTTAGACAGCCATGTTGGTGAGGTTTCATGGGTGCAGCTTCTCTGTCATTTCCAAGAGACATCATCTCCACAGCAAACTCCCTATCCCTCTCTTACAATCACTTTGTCTCTTCTGCTGTGACCCCTGAGCCTCAGAGGGTGGAGGAGTTGTATATCAGGGCTATTGTTTTTCAACAGGATATAATGCTATCATCAACTAGAAGGTCCATCATAACCTATCTTCTTAAAATACCTGGTGACATAAACAGTACATACTATGAAGTTCAGGGCACTGGCGAGCCAATTCTTTTGTCTTTTTCTGTTTATAATTGTAAAACATTATATGTATGTCAGGGGTCACATGTGCTCTTCTGTATACAGGATGCCTTCATATGCTAAGCCATTAACATCAATGAACTTCTTGTACTGACCAAGTGGGTAGCAGTTTTTTGTTTTGTTTTGTTTTGTTTTTGAGACATGAATGGCATAGCCAGCTGCTGCAGGTCTGGATACTTTGAAGTCTGATAAGATTCCTCCAATTTCAGTTCCCTCTACTTACATTTTTCCCCCAGCTTCTTACCCAACATGGCTGTTTCAGATATCTTCATTCCTTCCCTTTTTCTCTCTTGTCACAGATCATATCTGTTGGTTTGCCTTGGGGATCGCCTAGAAGGGCTATGGAGTAAAGGGTTTCCCAGAGGCATTTGTCTAAAGAAGCCTTTCTCCCAGAAACCCTTGGGCAAGTGTCAGTGGGACCACAATTGAGAAATCTGTTCTTGGCCCTTCCATCATCCTTCAGTCAGATCCTTTCTGTGGTCCCCCGAGGGTCTGTTCCACTAACCCTTTGTCATTTCTTATCTGTGGATCATCTGTTTCTCCTGTTCCCAACACCATACCCCCTTTCTTTGGGAGCCATCACTGTGATAGGTCCCTTGTTTTCCAGACTAGCCTCAGCAGCCCTTGCCCAGAGCTCTAATACTTATGGGGCCAGTTTGTCTATAGACTATCACAGCTGTAGCTTTTGTAAATTACAGAGAACACAGTGTCCTGACTACCAGTGACTCTAAGAGTTTAAGTATGAGGGGAGCTTTTTCCAGTGGTCACCAGATCTATTTCCAGATGGGAACAGGGGTGAGCTAAAAGTCTCATCCCACTAGGCACTCCTAAGATACTCCTCTGTCCCTTAGTGTGCAAAGGTCTCCTTTCTGTTGCTATGTTGTTTTTATTATTAGATTTATTGCTTTAATTATGAAATAGACCAGAGAATTATTGTACTAAAATAGTGCTTTCCCCTCCCATTTTGTAATTTCAGAAATAGGGAAGCTACCAAGCTCAGGTAAGGGTTTCCTGACCAGTAGTTGGTGACTATTCCCATCCCCCTGGCCAGAGGACTAAGCTCCTCCCAAGGCATCAGAGGACAATAGTTTACAAAGCCCATATGCAAAAAAAAAAAAAAAAAAAAAAAAAAAAAAAAGCAACAAAACAAACCAAAATCCCTTTCCCAAGCAAGAGGGCAACACTTTCTCTTCACTTCTTCTCCTACACTTGGGGTCACTATTCCTAGATGTCACTGTCCCAGCACAGCCACAATGCATACTAAACCATAGTATCCTGCCTCTTGGAATTGAGTGCTTATGGTGATAACCACTGTAGCTTAGAGATATTAGCTCTTGGATATGTGGCAACCATTCATTCAGTCAGGAGTGCAGGCCTCTTCCTACTCCAGAGCAAAGCTCAGCATGAGCCATTTTCCCCTCTGGCTGGTTGCTGGGTCTGCTCAGCAGTGAGGCTGCCATGTTTGCTGGCCAGTTTTCCAGATGGCTGTGGCTTTCAGTATGCCCATCACAGTTTCTCTCTCTCTCTCTCTCTCTCTCTCTCTCTCTCTCTCTCTCTCTCTCTCTCTCTCTCGGTTTTTCGGGACACAATTTCTCTGTAGCTTTGGAGGCTGTCCTGGAACTAGCTCTTGTAGACCAGGCTGGTCTCGAATTCACAGAGATCCGCCTGCCTCTGCCTCCCCTCCCGAGTGCTGGAATCAACGTACGCCACAACTGCCCAGCACCATGACAGTTTCTCAAAGTGGAGTCTGAAGAGTGAAGTCAGGGAAATTCCTACACTAACTATTAAAGCACGGATTCCTAGGCCTACATCCAGACCTGCCAAGTCCAGTCCCTGATATGGGCTGAAGATTGTTTTCAGAACCTTCCATTGGTCTTCATGAACCTCTCCTAAGTGAGCGAGTAAGGTCCTTCCTCTCTCTCTCTCTCTCTCTCTCTCTCTCTCTCTCTCTCTCTCTCTCGTGGGAGTGATGATGACTCTCCAAGTCTGAGGCTCTCACTGTTGTTTCTTTGGTTTGGGTTTCCAGGACTAACAAGCTTCTGCCAATGCAAGTAGATGGAGAGCCCTGGATGCAGCCGTGTTGCACGGTAAGTTTGCTGGTCTCAGAGGTGAGCATGAGAAGCATGATTTTTATTTACCCCTTGAAGACACTTACTTGATAAAAAAAATCACTGCACCTCAATTTTACAGGGATGCCCCTTTAGAGTTCTGAGACTTTATTCTTGGCACCTTAACAGCCTCAGCTTGGACCTAAAGAAAGACTCTTCTGATGAGGAGCAAGTCCAGATGCTATAGAGTGCTTCATTATCTGGAAGCCAAGCCTACCCACACACTCCAAATCCTACCCAGTACATAGACATGATTCCCTAGTCCACAGCCTTGAGGACCTCCCTGGAAACTCCATAGAAAGGACAAGTTGGTTATCTGGTGCACCAAACTGGCATCAGACTTGTAATGACAAACCTAGAATGCCACCAGCAAATGAATGAAGGTCATGGAACAGGGAATGTACAGTTGCATGGGCTAAGGCAGGAGGATTTATGAGTTCAAGACTAACCTGAGCTAGTGTAAGTTCAAGACTGACCAGGGTTACATAGAGAAATCCTGCCTCAAACAAACAGGGACAGAAGAGACAGATGAACAGCTAAGAGCTGTTCTTGCACAGAACCAAGGTTAAGTGCACAGCACCCACATCAGGCAGCTCTGACTGCTTCTAACTCCAGTTCCTGGCTGTTGTGGAATAATCTTTTTGTACATTGTGAACATGTGTCACTCTGATTGGTTTAAAAAAAAAAAGCTAAACAGCCACTAGCTGGGCAGGATTTCTGGGCAGAGAGGAAGCTGGGAAGAAGACAGTCACCAGTGGACACAGAGGGAACAGATGAGCAGGAAGAAAGGTAAAAGCCACGAGTTAACGTGGCAGTACATAGATAAATAGAAATGGGATAATTAAGTTATAAGAGCTAGTCAGTAACAGACTTAAGCTATCGGCTTAGCTTTTATAATTAATAAGTCTCCATGCCATTACTGGGGAGCCAACGGTCCTGCTAAAAAAGATTGATTACACCCACGGATCTGACATCCTTTGACCCCTACAGGCACCTGAAGGCATGTGGTGCACATAACTCATGCAGGCAAACACATACATGTGAACAAAACCAGAAAATAAATAGAACCTCCCCTGTCCTTTCTAGCTGAACCTGCATTAGTCCCAGTCAGTGCTGCTATGAAAGTTAGGTCTCCTCATTTTTCATTTGTCCCTCTTAAGAGCCCAGCTAAGAACACCATCGTAAAGCAAAAGCATTGTCTTGGTTTCAGGGCATCCACTGGGGTACTTCATGAGTGATGCCCTCAATATGACAGCAGATATGTGATCTCAAAAGAGACAAAAGTCGTCTTTCTGAGCATCTCCCATTCTTCCTCAGTTGTATTCTCGTTGGCAACCCTTCAAGTATCAAGTTCCCTTTTGTGTTTTTTTAAATGCCTGAAGTGACATCTTCTATAAAGGGTCAAATTAGAAATTTCTTTGCAAATTCTTACCATAACCTTATGGGAGGGTTAAAAAACTTGAAAAACTAAAACACACTTCAATGAAAACTAGTAATAGGAGCTGGTGAAATGGCTAAGTAGGTAAAGGCGATTCCTGCCAGCCAGTCATCAGGGCCCATGTAGTAAAAAGAGAGAACCAACTTCAGAAGGCAACATGCCAGGGCACCCACACACAAAACTCTACCTCTTTCTCTCAGGTATAATAAAAAAATATTTTTTTTTTGTTTTGTTTTGGTTTGGTTTTTTTTGAGACAGGGTTTCTCTGTGTAGCTTTGGCGCCTATCCTGGCACTTGTTCTACAGACCAGACTGGCTCCAAACTCAGAGATTTGCCTGCCTCTGCCTTCTTAGTGCTAAGATTAAAGGTGTGTGCCACCACCACCCAGCAATAAAAATATTTAAAAAAAAAACTAGTAATAGTATTCTGTTGCTGGTATTAGACAGGATGGAGGGAATCTCTCCTGCTTATTATTCCAGTGAAGCTGAGCTGAGGAAATCTATCCAGTCTCCTTCTGTATTTAAAAAAAAGAGAGATGGCAAGCCAGGCAGTGGTTGCACATGCCTTTAATGCCAGCACTTGGAAGGCAGAGGCAGGCAAATCTCTGTGAGTTTGAGACCTGCCTGTTCTAAAAAGTTACACAGAGAAACTCTGCCTCAAAAAGCCAAAAAACAAAAACAAAAACAAAACAAAACAAAACAAAAAAACCATGCCAGTCCCACACTAGTGGTTTAAAAACCGGTATGTTTTCCAGCCGTTTGAGAGGCCAGAACCCAAAATCAAAGTCTTAGCAGGCTGGTATCTGAGTCCTTATACAAAGAGGAGGAGACATAAGAGCACACACCTACGGAGGACAGCCTCAAAAGGACACAGTGGGAAGGCAGTCGGTGCCAGTTAGACATGTTTCTTAAAAGATACGCCTAAAACAAAAGGATGTATATTGTATATAGCATATATGTTGTAGGCAGATTTTTCTGTCCCTCCAGCCAGCTCCCAAAAAAAAACACATGGAGACTTCTTGTTAATTATGAAAGCTTAGCTGATAGCCTAGGATTGTTTCTAACTAGCTCTTGTAATTTAAATTAACCCATTTCTATTAATGTATGTGCTGTTGCATGGCTCATGGCTTGTTACCTCTCCCCCTGCATGTCCTGCTTCCTCTGCATCCCATGGCATCTCCTCCTGACTCTACCCGTCTTCTTCTGGACATCCTCCCTACCCTGAAAAGTCCTGCCTAGCTATTGCCTGTTCAGCTTTTTATTAAACCAATCTGAATGACAAATCTTCACAGTACAAAAAGATTATTCCACAGCAGTATTGTTATATATAATATTATATATAAAAGCTGAATACTATCCTTTACCGAGTATAATAAATCAAACAAAAAATAATAAAAGACAAAGTGAATAACTTTAAACACAGTACATCTAGGACTTTTTTTTTTTAACAAGATAAGTGTTTTAAAATCTCATTTTAAAAGAGAAAAGCTGGTATCAGGACTATTAAAGCCTAAAAAAACTAGCAAATGTAATATAGTCTTAATGTATATGGGCAATAGCATTATTTAATTGTTAAATATTATATAATTTTGATTCCAATAAACTCAAACAAAAAAATATGAAGGAAATCCAGCTACTAATGAAACATAAAATGCTTTCAAAGACTCATATACAAAGGGACAGCCAAACAGATGAACTTAGCAGGGAGGGGAATCATGAAGCCCTGAGGATCTATATACAGTTTTATGGTTTCCAGTGTGTGCTCCTGTAACTCCTCACATATGCTCCCGTAAGGGGTCCTACTGAGACCCAACAAAACAAAAGAAGAAGGTAAATTAGTTAGACAAAGATCAGTGGGACTGGGAGAGGATAACAGGGGCTTGTGGGACGAACATAAGGAAAGTATATTACACACATATATGGAAATGTCATAATAAGGGGCTGGGGACAGGAGTCAGTCAGGACCTGAGTTTAAATCCCTGACGCTTATGTAAAACCTGGCATTGTCATGCATGTTTGCAGCTCTGATGCTGGGGAATTAGAGAGAAGTAGGCCCTGGAATTCTCTGCCCAGCCAGCCAGCCCATCAGTAAGCTGTGGACTCAGGGACAGACTCTGTCTCAATAAGATAAGATAGGGAGTGATACAAAATACCTGATATCAACCGTGGGCCTCCATAGGCATGACTACACATATGTATACACACTACAAACATATGTGCACACATGTACTATGCATCACATATACACATATATCCCACGTACACAAAAGAACTGAAGTGACTGAAAAAATTATACCTCAAAATAGAAAACTGTAAAGCAATATGGCTCAAATATAAATATGATATAAAAACTCAAGCCAACATATAGGTAGGTCAGTAAAATACATTGAAAGGGTCATTCAACCCTTAGGACATATCATAGGAATAAAACAGAAACCTGCTATCATTGGTTTAGAGAAAAGTGTCATGACAATATAAATAAATGACCAAAAGTATTCAATTACATTCAACATTTTTAAGATTAATTTTAATTGTGTGTATGAGTGTATCTGTGTGTGTATTTATGCATATGAGTAAGGTGCCCACACAGGCTAGAAGGGGTCACTGGATTCCCTGGGGCTGGATGGAGTTCAGGTGGTTGTGAGCTGCCCAGTGTAAGTGCTGAGAACTGAACTGGGATCCTTTGCAAGAACAAGTCAGCATTTCTTTTGTTTGTTTGATCATTAACTTTGTCCTGTCTTGTCTTGTTTTGAGGCAAAATCTCTCTGGGTAACCATGGCTGACCCAGAACTTCTCTGTAGACCAGGCTGGCCTCAGACTCACAGAGATGAGCCTGCCTCTACCTCCTAAGTGCTGGGATTAAAGGTGATTATGTCTAGAAAACACATCTTGTTTTTATAGAGATTCAGAGAATACTATGACTGCTAGGCAGTGGTAGTGCACACCTTTAATCCTGGATAGCTGGAGATATACAGAAAAACCCTGTCTCAAAAAAAAAAAAAAAAAAAGTTACTAGAAAGAAACTGTCAAAATAATGAAATTTTTGTTAAACCAATAACAAATATTTTATTTAATTTCAGAAAAAGTCCTAGTAAAATTATAGACAAGAAATAAGTGCTAATATTACTTGGCAGTTCTAGACAATGCAATATATGAAACAGAAAATAAATATAAATATTTGGGAAACAGTCAAAACTATCACTATTGTAAGGGATGGTGACCATTGAAAGCTCAGGAAGTCAGTGGAAAAACTCATAAATTATTTCAGGGACGGCCTATAGGAAAGTAGACAAAAATAATAGCATTCCTGCATATCAGCAGTAGCCAATCTACTAGGAAAATAAATACATATTATAACAGAAGTCACAAGATGTACAATACACAGCTGAATTGTGGGAAATTAATGAGTATACCCATAAGGTATAAACAGTGTTAAAATTTGAATATGAAAATCATCTTGGTTTCTTTTCCCACAGTCCCAGGGTACACTCCATCCTAGTGACAAAGTCACAAGGTAGGAGCTTGAGTGAGCTGATCTCACT